GCCGAGCCGCCTCCCACGGCGGGCGCTGCAAGGCTGCGCTGCACTCAGCCCGGGTTTCCCAAAGACTTTCTTCCCCAGAAATCCCCTCAGAGGGTGCGCAGCCTGCACAGGGCAGTGGAATGGCCCCGCTGGCATCTCCTGGTCTCAGCCTCTCTGAGGGACCCATGCCCGGCTGCCCTGTGGACACGAGGAGACGCGCCTCGCCCCTTATGTGCCACACGCCACCCACGCTCTTCTGGTTCAACAGAGACCTTTTTAAAATATATATATTTTTATTGATTTCAGAGAGGGAGAGAGAGAAACATCAATGATGAGAATCATTGATTGGTTGCCTTCTGCACGCCCCGCACTGGGGATGGAGCCCGGAACCGGGCATGCGCCCTGACGAGAACGGAACCGGGACCCTCAAGTCCACAGGCCCAAGCTCTATCCACTGAGCCAAACTGGCTAGGGCTTCAGCAGAGATCTTGATTTAGTTTGGAAAATCACTCGAAAAGCGTTTCAAAACCCACCACTGCCCAGTCATTCAGGCGAATCGCGATCACACACACTGACACGGTTTTCTCTTACATTTCAATTAGGTCAAGAGCAAGTACAGAATTATCATCTAAACTCGATTCCTCTCCTGTAAAATAGGACGGGACTAGAATACACCTAAATCCCTATCTAATGGCGCCTCTGTATTTGGATGAGTTTGGTGAGGGGAGTGTGCTTGATTATCATCTCTTCCCATCTTCACGCTGGAAGCACTTTTTAGAAGGAATACTTTGTACAACCAAGGGCTTAACTTTTCATAGCCTGAAACTCCTTCCCTCACCACTGCCTGCCTGTTACAACTTAGCAGAATCTGTGATAACAGTGCTTAGAGGTAAATAGATAGGGTGTCCCCCCAAAACGTACTGGTATACACACTTTGAATAATTATTAATTGCAGGAGGCCGCCCATTGTCTTCACTAGCAGAGAAGTGCAAACAAGGATCCCGGAACGCTGGTGACCCTTGAATCCATGGCAAGGGCCTGAGTTATGCACCGATTGTCTAGTCCTGACAATGGGGGCTCGAGCTATTTCCTGATCAAATAGTCTCAGAGTAAATCCTTCTAATATTTACTGACCTTTAAGATAGCCTGTCTGTTACTGCAATTACCTGCCTAAGGGTTTTATGTTTAACCAAAGTTGAATAAAGCTGGCGAGGGGGCACCGGTGGAGGTCCTTCACCTTGAGTTGGACTTGCCCGCCTGGCCCCCCAATATTTCCAAATTATCTCTTGTCTCTTCTCTTTCATTTGTGTGCGACTCCTCTTCCAGATCCTGAACCCTGAACCACGCGGGACGTGGGGAAACACATACACAATTAATTCCAATGTTTCTTTCTTTGAAAATTCCAATAGAATGACATAAATGCCATGGAAAAAACAGGCACCAAAAAAGGTGCACAGGGGGCATTATTTGTTTCTTAAAATTGCTTCTTTTCCTTCAAAAATGTTCTGAAATCAAAATTTTAAGTTGTCAATATATACTACCCTGAAAAGTATGCTGCCTTAGTGCGTTGATTTCCTCTCTCACACACATACATATAAATAACGTATTGATGAGAACATCGCTTTGTGTCTGTGCTGACAGCATAAAGTTCTAAAGAATATTTTAGGCTTCTATCAAAAGGTTAATTTTTAAAAATGTTTATGCAAAAAATACTATTTTGAAAAAATGTACACTAGTTTTGGTGTGCTATTTACTGTATCATACTAAAAGTGATAATACTAAAAAAGAACCCTCCTTGACAACTGGAAGAATATCCTGAGAGACTTCATAAAGATGGCCAGAAATTCTTCTTCCTTGAGAACCAGACTAGAGACCTATTTTATGAACCACCTGAACAAAACCTTCAAGTATCATCTTTCTTTTTTTATTTCTTCTTCTTCTTCTTTTTTTGTTAGAACAACTCAGCAAAATAAAATTCCCGTTTATTGTTGGACAACATTGTTTCACACACACACCAAACAGGCCAAAAATAAATAAATAAACAGCAAATTCATAGACAAAAAAAGGAAAAAAAAGAAACCTTTTTATCTTTGGCCTTTTTAACCATCTTATACAAACCAATTATTTATAGTACAGATAAGCACATACACAAAGTTACTGGAATGTTCAGAATAAGATTGTTTTTGCTTTTTTTACAAGGTTTTTTTCTCCTTTGAGATTATAATGAACATGGTCACACCACAAGTAAAGTCAGAAGTAGGACAGAGAACACTCCAAAGGCTGGTGTGGTCATCCCAAGATCATTAAAAATGGCTGGCCCCTAACAATATGTACAAAAATATAAAATGTAAATAAAAATACAGACAAATTTTCCTTTTTCAAGTACTTTTAAGAAAAAAGGCGGGGCCTTGGAAGTTTTGGTTCTTTTCTCCTCCCCTGTTGCAAATTCACGTTGTGGTTTTGGTTGGATGGTGGAGGGTGCGTGTCATCTGCAGGTGGTGCTGCCCCAGGTGGGTGGGTGGGGGGACAGGCCGGCGAGAGTCTCTACTCGAAGGTGACCACATTTAGATTCTGAGAGGGGAAGTGGAAGGTGAATAGGTCACGGAGGCCTTTAACTTTCCCTTTTTTGCTGTTGGTCATCCTCCTCGGTCTTCTGCTTCTTGGTGTCAACATCGTCATCCTCATCATCTTCAGCTGCCCGTTTGCCTGTAGCTGCCTCAGCCTCCTCACCTTCATCTCCATCCTCTTCTCACCATCACCTTCTTCTTCCTCCTCCTCCTCCCCCCTCCTCCTTCCTCTTCTTCATCTACCTCATTGTCAGCCTCCTGCTCCCCATTTTCCTCATTCTCAGCGTTCCCATTCGCAGGTGCATCGCTTCCATTCTCTGCCTCCTCCACAACTTCCTTCTTCTCCTTTAAGTCCTTGGTGGTGATCTCCGAGCTGGTGTCCACGGGCGTGTCTGACATGGTGGGGATTTTTTTTTTTTTTTTTAAAGCGAGAGTTGGAGGACTCTGGCGAAGAAGCTGCAGTGAAGGAGGCGCACAGCGGAGGTGGTTGCAGCGAGCGAAACATTTCTATGTTACAGAATTTACCAGGCGACCAGAAAATACAAAGGAGTACCCAGACATACAGGAGAAACCCATTTATTTTCAGATGTTTCGCATGTACTAGTACAGTGACTCAGGGAGACTCTCCAAATCCTGAGCAAACCAATATGGAGGAAGCTCTCCCTTTATACCCTCTGGTTTCTTTGTCCCCCAAATATGTATGGGACTTCCGGACCTTTCACAGGCTTTGCAAAAAGCCCCGTGTGTTGGGATGGGGGCAGCGAGACCACACCTAAAGGCCTGGCCTGGTGCCAGTGCTGATAACCCCCTCAGGGGGTTGTGTATTGTTCATCGTTTATGGCCTCTATAAAATGGGAGCATTTAGGTAAATAGGTCTTGTAAGAGCAGATTGTGGAGAAAGGGGCAGTGACTTCATTATAGGCTATCAAGAATGTGCATTAGGTTACTGGCACAGATTCAGATTGCTGGCCCCCCAAAAATGTCTTATTTTCCCCGTCGTTTGGTGGAGCGGAGAGGGAGCCACAGGAACATGCAAAGATGGCTTTTCAGAGCAGCCAGTGGGCTAGAATCATCTTTCAAACAGAAAGCCCACAGGGAGAGTTCAGAGCTAATGTTATGAAGCTGAAGCTGTATTGCCTTGGGCTCCTGTATACTGTGGAGGCCAACAACACAAAAGTTGACAGTAAACCATCAGCTGTTGAAAAGTGAGGAATGAATACTGCTTGGCTATCATACTTCAAAACTGGCTTTGCCAGCTCCCAGACCCTCTATATCTCCTAATAGCAGGAGAGCCTTGTTTGAAGCCAAGTTATAGAGACAAGTTAAAGATCAGAATTCCCTGCCACTCTCACTATGGGACTATCTCAAGACTTATAATTTTTGAAGTACTACAGTATATTAGATCAAATAAGTATAGCACTAGTTATGTGTGCCATAGATAATACATAGATTTTCATTCTCTTGAAGCCTACATGTTGGTGTGCATTTGAGGGGCTAATCCAACTTTTAATGCTCTAAGTAAACCATTTAAAACCAGAAGTGCTTTTCTAAGAGGCTAGAGAAGGCATCCGTATACTAGTAATCCAGAAGCTATATTAAAAAGTATTCATCCCACTCAGTGTCATCTACCACTATCCAATAGGTTTTGATATTTTCCCCTTAAATGTGAAAGGCTGATACTGAAACTCATTGTAATAAAATAATTACTTGTAAGCTGTACATTGCCTGTGAGATTCATTTTCTAAATTTTATTTAGTCTAAAAATAGTAAGAAAAAATGAAAACTTACACTGAAATATTGTTTGTACAATCAACTCTAATGACTGGTTCACATGAACAAAACTGGAAAAATAGTAAATCTACATAGTTCATATAATAAATAAAATGTAAACACACACTATCTCAATACATAAATAGAAGCTTTACACATCAAAATACAATATATATAAAATATATCTCTAAAATTTAATGAGGTACTATCAATGACTAATTTTCATTATAAATTACATATATATTTCAATAGAGAAATATATTTGCTCTAACATTTTGAATTTCAGAAATAACTTGTATGGTGGTATTGTGGAGAGTAATTTTATAACCAAGCCTTTGAGTAATACATCGTTATTAGTAATTCACTGGAAGGGTATGCTGTAATAATATGAACAATTTCTTAATTATAGCAAAAGTACTCTTAAGGAATATAAGTTATAGTGTTTTATTTCTGTATAAGCAGTTAATACTGAAAATGAATGGGAAGATAACATATTTTCAATATCCTTAAGCACCAACTTTGTAGAATGGTGTGGACCAAATTGAGGGGTTTCAATAAAGGCAACTTACTAGATTACCATTCCATTTCATTATTTATGAAAATCACTTTAGATGCACTCTTCCAAGGCAAACTATATTTTAATGTGCCTCAAAACTTAATAATTATACTGCTTCTCAATATTTCAGAGCCTGGATGACAAATACTTTAGGCACTTTAAAATATGGTCTTTGTACATATAAAATTGGACAAACTAATAACTTAGGGGTAACAAAAAGCAATTGAATGCGTTTATTCCCCTACTCAAATAAAGGTTTGAGGAAAACTTATGACAAAAAAAAGGAAAAGTACAATGATGCTTAAGAATTCTTTACTAGATAAGTGCTAAAAGGGTGGGGGTTCCACATTTAACACTATACCAGTGTTTGTCTACTTTATAATTTTGGCCAGCTATATTAGTAATTTAAGAAGATGTTATTTAAATAACTGAATTATTTAATGAGAAGATTTAGGTAATTTTATAGTGACTTGAGAGAATCTATTCTATCTAAAAGTTGATACATAGTGTTTTTATGTATCATTATATTGAGGGATTTCTAAAGTCCTTGGGTAATTTCTTATTCTCCTCAAATTTGTATAATCTTTCCAGCAATGAGTACACAGTGAGTTAAAATTGCCTACAATTGTAATTACTTTCAGAAAGCATATTTTTTTTCTGTACCTTATAAGGAAATTATTTTAGAAATATAAATTAATCTGCCATTAACATCTCATTCCCATATATCCCATTCCATGTAATCACTTTAACATAACATTTTTGCTTCAATTTTATCTTCTAAATAAAGCCTCCAATTTGGGGAGTAAATATACAGTCTGATTAAAATGCTAAACATATTAAACATATAAAGTATATAACAACTTAATTGTTACTGATCCACTGATACTTATTTTCTGTTTCTTCTTTTTGGGCTCTTTGTTCTTCTCGGTGGTTAGCTGCAGTCCAAAATGTGATTTTTTTGAGTACTTGTTGAAGAAGTTTAGGAGGTAATAAAGATATTTGACTTTCTAAAATTATAGCATTTTTACCAATGCAGTCAAGGCATGACCTGCAAACAAAACATAATGGAATTATTCATTTTTTAAGTTATAATATAAAAAGTATATAGGTAAGCTTCTTAAAAATAAAAATCATTTAAAATCTCTATATATAAAAGCATAATATGCAAATTGACCAGATGGCAGAATGACTGCTCGCTATGATGCACAATGACCAGCAGGGGGCAGGTGCTCAATGCAGGAGCTGCCCCCAGCCCACAGGTCCTGATAGCCTGATCTCGGGGGGGGGGGGCAGGGGGGGGCCTGCCGGCCAACCTCTTGGTCCCTCCCCCTGGCTAACAGGCTCCAATTGCCCAATGGGGAATGGGGAACTGGGGGTGGGTGGCGGCGCATGCAGATGGCACCAGGCCAAGGCGGGTGTGAATGAGCGGGGCCCCGATCGCCCCACCAGTCGCCCCATACACAGAGGGTGACCGGCTCAGCAGCGGGGGAGTGGGGCCAGCTGCTGGCAGCTGGGGAAGATTGGCCCTGATTGGAGGTTAGGCCTAGGAACTCTACCCCTGCACGAATTTCGTGCACCGGGCCTCTAGTTTTTTACATAATAATGTATTTCTTTTGTATTGTTTGGAACATGATAGGACGTATATTCTTTGTAGAGCACCACAATAATTGAACATTTTTACAGCGTAGAGACTGTTCTGACCAAATCCAATGGGAACAGAAATTACAACTTACCATGCATGATGTTCTTTAAGTAAAAAAAGATTCAGACTTAATTTCAAAGCAGGTTAGTCTCTAGCAGACCCTTTTCACTTATCCTTACAGCCCAATACCCATTTACTCTTCCCTGAGAACTTTTTCTTCCATCTCCTAGATCAGTGATGGCGAACCTATGACACGCGTGTCAGAGGTGACACGCGAACTCATTTTGTTGGTTGATTTTTCTTTGTTAAATGGCATTTAAATATATAAAATAAATATCAAAAATATAAATCTTTGTTTTACTATGGTTGCAAATATCAAAAAATTTCTATATGTGACACGGCACCAGAGTTAAGCTAGGGTTTTTCAAAATGCTGACACGCCGAGCTCAAAAGGTTCGCCATCACTGTCCTAGATGAAGCATCTGACATCCATTTTTACATGGTGTGACCGGGTCCTCCTCAGACTCCCTCTATCAGTGTCTGACTTAAGTTGACCCAGAGAGAGCAGGTCTGAAGAGAGGAATGGAGAGATGCCACAGAAAGAGCCAAGAGACTACCAGAGAGAGGCTCTCCCCATCTGGGGGCCAAGCGTTCATGTTTCCCCTTTCATTCCACTAGAGGGCAGTATCCTTTCAAATACAATTCCATTTTACTCTTATAAACTACCCTGAAGAGGGTTTTGTACTTTAAAACCAAAAGAAACCTGATTAAGATAAGAACCATCAAAAATGCATCTATTTCAACTGGTAAACTTTAATTTTAAAAGGTAAATATTTTATAAAAGTTTTAAAAATAGACTCATTGGATTCTGCTGTGGTTAATCTGTTGTCATTTTTATAAGGATTTACACTGTACAGATTTATATCTTCTTCCAAACTCTCATGAAGCCTTTTCTCTAGACTTTGTGAAAATGCTCAATAAAAAGTAAGAGTGAAATGAGAAATAACATTTATTACAGAGGAACCATGTCCTACTCCTGTTTGTGTTTCCCAGTTAGTGCTAGATGCCTTCAGACGTGGAATTTAAAATAAAATGAGTACACTTGCTTACTGTGGACAACTAGTTGTGGTGAACATGCTTCACACAATAAATCTACGAAAGTCCTGATAGAGTCAAGTTTTGATACGCTCAGCATTCAGTACCCACTCACAGAAGCTCTGTACTAGGTGCAAAGGTGATACCAAGAAGCCTGACTGATAAGCACCCTTAGTCCCAGCCTCAAATACAGGCCCATCCAGTGTGTCCTTTGCTTTCTCTTATTTCTATACTGATTCATCTTCCCCATCATTGCTTTTCTTTGTGGAGGAAAGACTGTTCCAAGAGAGGAATGACCGCTGTCTGACCAGTGAGCTGGACCTGGGCCAGAGGGGAGGGGGAACCTGTTTCCCCACAACCCTCCCCCCTCTTGGGCACTGTCTGATCCTGACTGATGTTTGTTATGACATGAACCAGTGCCCTTCCCCTGCTTCGCACTACTGGTTCCTGGAATAGGCCATTGTCTTGAGCTGGACAAGCATGAAAAGCAATTTACCGTAATCGGTAGCATTCACATAGGAGTACAGGGACTATTGCCCCTTCATCCCATATAATTCTTTTTTTAAAAATGTTTTTTTATTAATATTTTAATTTTTAAAATATATTTTTATTGCTTTCAGAGAAACGTCAATGATGAGAGAGAATCATTAATCAACTGCCTCCTGCACGCCCCCCACTGGGGATTGAGCCCACAACCTGGGCATGTGCCCTGACCGAGAATCGAACCACGACCTCCTGGTTCATAGGTTGACACTCAGCCACTGAGCCACCTCGGCCTGGCTCCCATTTAATTCTTTGATGCCTGTCAAGTGGTGTGCGGATCCATTTCAAGTTACAGCCACTGAAGATGCACATTCCTTGTATGTTTCCCTCAATTAACTCCATTAATTACCAGACTAGAGTGGCTAACCTCTTTCTTCAGTCTTTCTCGGCCCTCTGCTTAAGGAGATTTTCAGACCTGGGACCTTTCCCAGGGTCTGTGTGTACTAACAATATTCCCTTCCAAACCACCTCTTCATGCTTTTTGGAGCACCATTGTGTCTGCAAACACCCCTGCTTCCTCTGACTTTCTGTTCTAGCTTTAATTGAAATCGAAGAAAATTGTTTTATGTGCAGCCCTCTTGAGAAAAGAGTACATTTCCCTCACCTCCGCTCTCACAGTCCAGGAGCCAATGCTAGTTTTCTCTCCTCACCTCTGCTTCCAGCCTGCAATCATTTCACCTTCAGATGTCACCACCTATCAACCTCCTACACAACCCCACACCCAGCCCCAACCCCGATGGATAGTGAAGACTTTGGCCCTGGCTCACCAAGATCTTGTCCCTTGACTGATTTTAGCATCTCTGGTGAAACCCTTTTTTATTCTTTATGACCTTATGAGGGCAGTTCAACCTCTGAAGTCTTAAACTTCCCTATCCTCCTCTTGGACCATAATCCTTGCATCCTTTTAATTCTCACGCTCATCTTTTGACTCTTCTTGGTTCACCAAATAAGAAGAACCCCTCCAGTTTTAATTATCTTTCCTATCCAGCCTAGTCCATATGCAGGTCATTCTCTTGCCAACAATTTTAATCCCGCTCTCCACTGTCCCTCCATTAACCATCCTGGCTAAATTCCAGGGAACTCTCTCCTTTCTGCACCTGCAACCTGGCTGCTCAGTGCTGCTGGAGAAACCAGGCTCCTGCCACTGCACCGTGGTTCCCCTCGACTCAGCGGCGCCCTCCTGCGTCTCAGCACTGTTACAGATCCTAAGTCAATCTTCTCAGTCACCTCAGCAGCTATTTCAAATTTCACCGCTCTTCTTAAGTTCAAGTCCTCACCTCTCTTCTTTTTTATCAGATGACCTCACTAGCAGCTAAAACTTCCTCAGAGCCCTGCCCCTAACCAACAAATGTGTCTGTCTTTATATCTGTACTTCCTTCTTTGCCCACTATGTCAAAATTATTCTTGCTCTTTAAGGGGCAATTCAATGACCTGTTCACTAAATTCACCTCCTTGAGGAGAAACCAAGATGGCAGCATAGGTAAACAATGGAAATTGCTGCCTCGCACAACCACTTCAAAAATACAACTAAAAAGACAAAGGGGACATCATCCAGAACCACAGGAAGGCTGGCCGCGTGGAAATTCTACAACTAGAAGGAAAGAGAAAAGCACACTGAGACTCAGAGGAGGTGCAGTGTGGAAGTAAAGTGCAGAGGTATGGAGGTGCACGCAGAAAGGGCTCGCAACTGAGGACACGGTTGTCTTTTTCAATCGGGAGGGAGACACAAGCTCCTGACTGCTCTGAACGCAAGTTCCGGGTGAGTCTCTGGGGACCCAGACTCATACGGGGAGAAACTGGACTGTCTGGCAGCGGGCGGAACTCGAGGACGGCTTTCTCTCAGAGGTGCTTGCAGCGATTACCGCAGAGGATAACCTAACTGTCCATTGACAGATTAATGGGTAAAGAAAATGTGGGTCAGAGAACATCCAAAAGAAGGCCCAAGGCCCCACAGCAGCCTGCATTACTTCATAGCTGAGCCTCATCTGGGAACCTGGGAACCCCAAACAAGGAAAAGGAATCTGCAAATATCTCTG